ATAAATTTTTAAAAAATGGAATTGCTAGGTTATAATGTGTACTATTTAAATTATTTAATTCTAACAACAAACTCTATTTCAAAAACTAGATACTAGAAAAAACACAACTGACTCTAGATAAGTCTAAAATGTATCTGGCAGAAGCAGACGTGTTAGACAGAAACAGATTAGCCAAAAAAGTTTACAATGCCATGGGGTAGCAGTTAATGTGATTTGCAGAGGAAAAGAAGAGTGTAGGCTATTCTGGTGAGTCAATTAATTGTAAACAGATTTAAAAAGCTTCTGCTGCTTTCAGGTCTATAACCCTATCAAGTTATTTAGGCTTTCTAAACCTCAATTTGCTCATTTTGAAAACCGGAGACATTTCCCATGTTCATGCACCAGAATACTTAATATTATAAGCTTGAATGTTCTCCCTAAATTGGTATGTAGATCTGCTGTCATCCCAATCACATGCCAGACCAGCATTTTTATAGAAAAAGAATAGAAAAAGGATCATAGAAAAGCTGATTTTAACATTTATATGAAAAGACAAAGGACCTAGAATAGTCAAAACAATTTTCAGAAAGAGCAATGTTGGAGAACTCACACTACCTCACCTCAAGACTTATTGCAAAGCTTTGGTAATCAAGACAGTGTAGTATTGACAAGAAGATAGACAAACAGGTCAATGAGCTAGAATTGAGAGGCCAGAAATAGATCCATACATATAAAGCAAATTGTTTATGATAAAGGAACCAAAGCAATTTAAAGCAAAGAAAATATCTTTTAACAAATGGTACTGGAACAATTGGATATCCATAAAATTTTTTTTTTTAAACTTAGACTCCTATCTGCACTTACACTCTATTTCACACCACACACAAGAACTAATTTTAAATGGCGGAAAGATCTGTGGATAGGAGTTTGAGAACCTTGAAAGATAGTCTATAGGAATAAGCATCTGCCCTCAGGCATTAGACCCTCACTTATCCTTAAATGTATCAGGATAACTTAGCCTAGGCTAGGACCTGGCCTTCGGCCCTTCCCCTCTGTTTATTAAAACATTTAAAGAGAAACCTAAATTAAAAATCAAAAATAATAGTGCAATTTATTTATTTATTTATTTATTTATTTATTTATTTATTTATTTTTGAAGTTCTCCTACATTTTACTCTAACAGCTTTTTTGTTTTACTTTTCACATTTATATCTGCCGTCCATATGGATTTAATTTTTTTTTTTTGGTAACAAACCTGCACGTTATGCACATGTACCCTAGAACTTAAAGTATAATAATAATAAAAAATAAATAAATAAATAAATAAAGCAAAAATAAAATAAAATAATAATAGTGCAATTTAAAACTACCTCAAAAAATCCAAAAATCTTTAAGATATACCATTTGAAACAAAAGTGTTAAAAGAGAGAGAACAAGAATGTTATGTAAACATGATAAATATACTTAAAGAGATGTAACAAGCTATTAGTAATAAGAAGAATAAAAAATCATTAAAAATGAAAATATATGAGGTATAATAACTGAAAAACTACACCAAAGATGGGATAAAGAAAGGAAGAAATAGCTAAAGAATAAATTCGTGAATTAGAAAATCAGACAAAGAGGCAATCTCTCAGCAATCAGAAGAATAAAGAGATAGAAGATATACAAGTAAGCATATTCCTCCCTGTTCCCATTATGTAGTATCAACCCTCTCCCCTCAAGAAAAGCAGGTTACTTACCCCGACATTACTATAACTCCCTTCTGATCCACTGGCATGAGGAGTCCAAGGTGGCCAGGTGGTAGACCCAGCTTCAAATTCGGTAGAATCCTCACTTCGCTGGTGGAGACAGCCCTTACTGGGAACGATGTTCTCTAACCTAACAGAGCCTAAGGTTAGAAGATAGGAAGAACAAATTTCACAAATAGGTCACTGGGGATGATCATGTAGGGATCACTTCTATTTCCTTGGTTACCAGACCTGTGTTTTCTAGCCATTAAGGACAGAGCACCATATATCAGTCCTTATTTCAATGCATATACACCCAAACTGAGGACCATGCTCTAACCTTCAGAATGTGTTCTCGGAGAGGGCCACTTAACTGAGCCTTTAAGTCCACTGCATCATTCAGCTAGCCAGCTGCTTCTGGGTGATGGGATATATGGTGGAACCAGTGAATCCTGTAATCATTGCTCTATGTCCTTTGCAGCAAAATTGGTCCCTTATCTGAGGAAATGTTGTGAGAACCCATATTGATAGATCAGGCATGCTGAAGTGTTGATTCATATTTGGTGTAGATGTAACCTCTGGTAAGGACAAATTGCTGCTGTTTTCCTCAACTGAGGTGTTAGCATCAGTCTCTGAGGCTGACATTCAGCACTGGCTAGATAAGCTCTTTGTGAACTGAATCCCATTCTGTTAGGTGTTTGCATACTTCTATTCCTGCCACCATTGAATGCCAACTTGCACTGGTACTGCAATAACCAGGAAGAAATGTTGGCTGACATCCACAGGTTTACTCATCTTGTCCACCTGATGGTTGAGATCCCCTTCTGCAAAAGAGGCTTGCTGAGCATCACCACAAGACAGACAGATCTGCATACTGATGCCCACCATCTATAGGGCCCACATATCTCTTTCCCCACTTCCTTGTCCTCACTCTTCCCATTCTGGTCCTTTCAGGCCCGGAACAAACTAGCCAAATCATTCACCACTACCTATTTCTACCTAAGGTCACTTTTCCTTCCATACAAAGTGGACAATCAAGTGTGCTGCTCAAAGTTCTGCCCAAAACTCTATACAGAGATTTTATACAAGTGATAAAGAAGATTATGGGAGCTAGCCCAAAACCCCTCCCAAGACAGTCCTGTGACCACCATTGTTCCGCCCTAAACTAATACTATTTCTTCAAAGCATTCATTAGTAGTGGAATCTCCTAAAAGAAAAGAGCCCATAGCAGCTTAAGGGGAAGTGAAAACAGGGCGAACTGGGAAGGCAGAATGTTACTGAGCATTCAGACATTGAAAGAATAACTCCTCCCCCAAACAAAAATGAGACCTTCATAAAGCATCAATTTAGTGTTTGATTAAATACAAATTTGTTCCGTTTGTAATGATTTCATGTGCATTTGTGTCATCTCTCTAAGCAGTGTTTCCACCCCTTTGGAGTCAGGAAGTATATCTTACGCCTCCCTGTATCCAGCTTTCTCCGTTCCCATCACAGGGCTAGGATCACAGCAGCTACTCACCTTAGTTTTAAATAGTGTGGAATTGACTGATCCTCACTTAGGCAGTCCAGGGCTCTCACTCTCAGTTCTGTCACGATTGTGCTGCCTTGACTATTGATGCCCATGCTTCCTCCTATAAACCAACCTTCCAGGTTTTCAAATCCCTACTCATGAACCTTTCTACCTTTTATTTCAATACTGAGTAGCCATCCTCAACCAAGGTCATTTTAATTCCAAGGTCTATGTCCACCACGGGGGTGCCCATCTCTGGATGGCAACTCCAGTCTTGTTTGCTTGTCTCTCTCACACCATTTCTGTTTACTGACTGTTGAAGGAAGAGGCTGCGAGAGCTCCCTATCCCCACATACCCTGATAACAGAAATGAGTTATTCCACTGGCTGGCAAAATACTAAATCTTCCCTTCATGGATCCAAAACTGGGCTTAGTTACTCCTCTACTGTGCCCTCCACTGTTCTGATTCCACCATTGAGGACCTCCTGGAGAAATCTGGAATCCCTGACGCTGATATGAAGTTCACAGACTACTTGTCAGTAACCCCCAGGGCATGGTTTCTATGGACCTAAGTTTGTGTCAGTCTGAAGATCAAGCTTGTCCCCAGAATGTCTCTCTCGTGTCCCCCCTTTGGGTCTTACTGAGGTTAATGAGCAGTCTAGTTCTGCTATTTACTAGTTGAGTGATCTTCAGTGAGTTAATCTCTCTGGGATTTTCTTTCCTGAGCTGGCATAGGAAAAGACTCATTTGCATTTCACAGGGTTATAATAAGAACTAAGTGATATAAGGAATATGTGTCGCTCGGCACAGTGTCTGCTATTTGGTTAATTAATAGTTATTAATTAATTAATTCATAAGTATTGTTATTATAATTAATAAGCATTGTTATTATAATTCTAGTAACATTGTTATTTACTCCATTTCATACTATAATACCTTTACCACCCATACAGACAGACCATTTTTCTAGCTTTGCAATTGTCTCTCTGACACCCATCTCTTTTCTACTCTTCCTACTCCTACATACAGTTGCTTAGTGGAGTTGATTTGTTATCATATTTTTTTCAATGAAATTATACTACACACTCTGGCAAGTTTTGAAATGCCCCTCCATCTTTTTCCCTTGTCTTGCACACCATCCCCTTCACTATTCACTTTGTGATTAACAAAATATTGCAAACAAACTTAGAGCATATGACAATGATGTCACCTCTCTAAATGACCAGAAAGTATACATCCATTCACACTAACGTGTCTATTTTTTCTGACTCACAGGGCTGTGTTTTAATGACAGGTTCATATCTCAAAATTGGGGTAACACCAAAAACACAACCTAATAAGCTATGCCACACAGTGCATTAGGAATAGGCTAATAGATGTTGCCAAGAAGAAACAAGAAGAGAAATGCTCTCTGCCTCTCGATATGCACTAAACAAAAAGCCAAGGTACTTTGCATTTTTCAGTAGAAAGGTCATAAGAATGGGTTAGCCCGGGTATGGTATGACAATGGTAGTTCCTGCCAAAGGAGATAGTCAAAGAAGCAATGTTAATTTCAATATCAATTACATACTGATATTAAATAAATGCAGGGTGCTAAACTACTGTGCCACCTCGCACCACTTGTGGTTCAGAAATTATCTTCATGGCTCTGGTCATATCATGCCCCTCCTCAAGAACCTTCAACTGCCCCCCACTGCCCACAGGATTGACACCAAATTCCTCAGTTTTCCTAGGCCCTCCACAAGCATGCCTGGGCCCTCTCACCAGGTGCACGTTCTTACAGTCTTCTCTGTTTCATCTACTTCGTTGAAATCCCACCATCTTCCAAGGCTCTGCTTCAACACCAGACTCTCCATTCCCACCTCTGTGGTGGAATACTCATGTCTTCTTCAGTCAGAGCTAATTTCTCTGTCCCATGCATTTCTATAACACTTTTGTTTGTTCCTCTCTTGTAGAACTTATTCTATTTCTCCCTGATTTCAAATGTTTAGATATGCAGCTTTGGTTAAGCCACCAATTCTCACTGAGCATAGTGCGTGTCCATGAGAAATGGACTCAGTAATGCTGTTGACTGTCTTCAAAATGGATTTCAAAAACTAGCAAGCACAATACGAGTGTAAAATAGAATCATGACTCAATTTTTACCCTATGAATAAATGGACATTTTCAGTGATTCCACAGATGATCATTCTCAGTTACATCACTTGGTTTAAACAGGCCAATGAGGCCTTAAAATGGCCAGTTAACCCTGAATCGTATAATTCAAGTCGATAAATTTATATCAAATGAATCACATTTCATTTTATGTTAAGCAAATCACAAATAAACCTGTTTTGTTTTTTTAAAAACAATAACAGGTTAAAATCCCAGCTACTCAGAAGGCTAAGGCAGGAAAATCACTTGAACCCAGGAGGCAGAGGTTGCCGTAAGCCAAGATCTCACCAGTGTACTCCAGCCTGGGCTAACAGAGGGAGACTCCATCTCAAAAATAAAATAACAGGTTAAATCAGCCTCTTATTTTAAAACAGCCCCATCACCATGACTAGCACAGCTAACTCTGGCCAAAGAACCCCAACATGTAACGTTCCAGCAAGAATAGATGAGTAGATCAGCATAAATCTTTTCACACTGAATGGATTTTCCTACAAAATAGGGTTCTCATTGGAAAGCAGAGAAGTATATAGGCCAGGAGATTGCCCAAGTAAGGTGTGGGAGGATGGAGTCCTTTGTGGAATCAGACAACAGGTGACAACACGTGTGGAGGAGTGAGGATGAAAGTGACTAGAAGAATAGCAAAGCTCTCATGGATGTTATACATTATATGCATTTACGAGATGAAAGGCTATTCAAAATTTTACAAAGGTCAAATCAGAGCACCTTCATAAGCCAGGTTCCTCTGTTTCCTATGACTTCGTACTTCCCTACAGTGATCTGCTGCTTAATGATGGGCAAAGAACAGGACTAGCTTTGAGCAAATTATGAGGGATGCCAGAATGGAGTTTGCTTCCCTTCCTTTTTCTGTTTTCACTTTCCTCTAGAGCTGTCCCCTCTATTTACTAACCTTTAAAAGACAATACCCACCTGCATTCTTCTAAGGGCTTTTCTCCCCAACCAATTATGCAAATTGGAGCAAATCAGACAACCTTAGTCATACATGTGTACATAAATAGCTAATAAATGTGCATATGACATCGCTCCTAGGAGAAAAGCCTTGAGGCTAAGAGATTAATTTCCAATTATGAAATTGCAACCATCCACGAATTGGGCAGAGAGAACCCTCCTATGACATTACCCCGCCCCTTCGCTGCCAAGAACGCCTTAAGGGCATAAAGCAGTTCCTGCCTGGTTGGCTTGTTCATGAAGATTCATACTTACCAAAGAATTCCTTGGTGCAACCTTAAGCTACAAAATTGTTGCGAAGAATACTTACATTTACATCTTAAATGCAAATACCTAGAGTGGAAACATGTATTTTTGATTTGGATGGAGGACAATATTTTTAGGTCCTCCCCTGCTGTTAGTAAATTTACAGAATTACAATACCCATAAGGAGCCAATAATTTTTTAAATAGTGATGTTAAACTGAGTATGTTCAGGCACCTAAGGGGTGTTATGTGCTTTACAAAGAACTGAGAATGTGGTTTTAACAAAATGTTTTCACCCCGGACACCACAAACGCATGTGCAGTTTCGTATTTGGCTCCTGAGAATATGTCTTACAAAATAGGCCTCAAACCAAATGCCAAAAGACGACTGTCTCTCCTGCTATATTACTTCATCCTACACTGAGTTAGTTATTCAACAAATGACATTCAGTTATAGCCTAGAAAATATTTGTAGTAGAGACAGGGTTTCACCATGTTGGCCAGGCTGGTCTCGAACTCCTGACCTTGTGATCTGCAAAATATAAAACTTAGCCTAGTGTGGTGGCGCCCGTCTGTAATCCCAGCTACTCGGGAAGCTGAGGCAGGAGAATTGCTTGACTCGAGAGGCGGAGGTTGCAGTGACCCAAGATCACACCACTGCACTCCAGCCTGGGTGGTGACAGAGCAAGACTCTATCTCAAAAAAAAAAAAAAAAAAAGAAAGAAAGAAAAGAAAAAGAAAATTAATAGTTTTGCCTTGTTTTGGTTTTGCTTCATCGTTTCCTGACTTCATTCATGAGGCAAAAGGAATGACAGCCAGCAGAGCAGGCCCCGTGGAGCTCCTGCACTTGCAAGCACTCACATCCTGCAGGAAGAACTGGTATGCACCTGTACACACAGGAAAAGGCCACTGAGAGTCAAACACCACTAGCACTAATTCGTGAACTTTGGTGAGGTGTGAGGTATTATCGCAGGGTAGGGTTTCTTATTGTTGCTGCTGTTTACTGAGGTATAATTTCCACACAGTAAAATTAAACATTTTTAGGCACACAGTTCTCTGAATTTTGACAAACTTAGTGATGTGAGTACAAAAGCAATCAAAATTCTACCACAAAAAAAAATTCTTTGTGCCCCTTTCTAGCCAATCCCCTCCCCTCACCCCCAGTCCTTGGCAACTGCTGATCTGGTTTCTATTTCCATTGTTTTTCCCTTTCTAGAATATTATATAAACGGAATCATACAGTGTATGACCATTTGTGTCTGGCTTCGTTCACCTAGAAAAATGCTTTTGAGATTCTCCATGTTGTTGCATGCATCAGTTCCGTATTCCTTCTTATTGCCAAACAGTATTGCATTTATAGACACACTACAATTTGTTTATTCACTAGTTGAGGGACATTGGTTTCTAGCTTTTCATGATTATGAATAAAGCTGATGTAAAAACTTGTTGATAGGTTTTTCAGTGGACATCTGTCTTTGTTTCTCTTAGATAAATACCCAGGAGTGAGATTGCTGGGTTGCATGTTTTGTGTAAATTTAACTTTATAAGAAACTTCAAAACTGACTTCCATAGTGGAAGTCTATTCCCACCAGTAGTGTATGATAGTCCAGCAACGTATTATAGCTCTGAATCCTTGTCAGTATCAGATGTTGTCAGTTACCTTGATTTGAGCCATTTTATTAGTAATCCATGAACTTTCGATCTAGGCTGGGCCATAAAATTAAACTTTCTGCTAGCTATGTGTACTTGGTTGAATAAGCGTCCTTCCAAAATACACATTCACCTGGAACCTCAGAATGTGATCTTATTTGGAAGTAGGATCTTTGCATATGTAATTAAATTTAGATGAAGGCATACTGGGTTGAAGAGGGCCTTAATCCCAATGACCAGTGTCCTTATAAGTAGGCCACGTGACACAGGGACACACAGAAGACGGCATCCTGTGACAGTAGAGGCAGAGATTGGAGCTATGCTGCAGCAAGCCAAGGAATACCAGAATCCCCAGCAGCCATTAGGGCCAAGCAAGGATTCTTCCTCAGTCTCGGAGAGAGCGTGGCCCTGAATACATCTTGATTTCAGACTTCTGGCCTCCAGAGCTATGTGAGAATACATTTCTGTTTGTTTTAAGTCACCCAGTTTGTGATAATTTGTTAGGGCTGCCCTAGAACTAAAACCCTATGATACAATTTACAGAATACAACAATACAAATAGGTTTATATTTGACTCATATGAAGCTTTCTGAGGATAAAAGCATAATAATTTTTTGTATAAAATTCATTCTAATTAGTTCAAGCATATTACTAGGAGCCTAATTTACTAATATGCATACAAATTCTTGGGCTAAGTTTTTGGCTATTCTATAATTCAACATTTCACTCATTGGACTGAACTTCTGCTAATGAGCCAAGATTAGTGAAGACCACTGTTTATCGTGAATTAAGAGCAGTGCAGAAGCACAATCCCAGTGGTTCCTATCTGTGTCCATTGAATATGTGAGACCCACATTTTGCAGAACGTTCTACAAAGAATTAGGAGATGAACTGTCTTTTAGTTTAGTCATTTGTGGTATAATGTACTGGAATGCACCTTTAAAGATTTTTAATTGTAAAATTATGTGTTTATCTTCCCTACCATGATGTCTAGTTCTGAAAAACAAGACTTCTGTGGTAGAGACAGTTTTGGTTGTTTCATAAAGAACAGATCACATTTCAGTTTTAGCACAAAGCTCTTCTAGCCCCTGATGAAGAAAATTATCCAGCTCTCAACCCCTATTAGACTTCCTTGGGCAGGCAGAGGGATCTCCCTCCCCAACCGACCCCAAAACCTTTGAAAGAAAGAAGTTGGTTCTTCTGTTACACTATTATTCAATTATAAACCTACTAATTCAATAACAGAGAATAAAAGAATAGTTACAGTCAATAGCATGTTGTGGTTTCTGCTACTAAAACTTTCTGAAAACCTATTGCAAATAGATACTGAGGCAATAGTAACACAGGAGGGCAGGTGCAGATGTGGGAGCAGGAATCCCACATTTTTACATTCATTCCTCTATACTATGTAAACCAGACTTTCTCTCCATGAACAACATAAAGTAATAACAAGCCTACCAGGTGAACATTAGATGTCATTATATGGACTTCTGGGAGGAGTCTGGCACTCACTGAGCCTCTTATGAGCACTTTTCTGTGTTGTGCACTGTGGTTACCAGCTGTACCACGCCTATTTCACAGGAATAGCTGGTGAATACAATCATGACTTCCATAAAATTTGCAGAGCAAAGCAGGCTGTCATCCAAACAGAGTCCAAAAATGTTCAGTGATCCGAACAAAAGTCCGGCCCATTTTCACCACTCCTGCTCTGATAAGCATTCATTGTCCTTTGAGTGTTTTGGGAGAGCACAGTGTTGACCTATTTGGGGGGACAAGGACTTATAAGATTGGACCACTCTGTTCCAAGTTTGGGCAATTTCAAAGGATAGGGCTTTGGGGAAT